CCTTAGCTAACCTAAATCGTTTCTTTGCAAAACTAAACTTAAATTTAGTTTTTCTTGGGGCATCTAAATAAAATTAAAAAAAAAAAGCTACAATATACAGCTATCGATTAGACACAGACTTGTTGTTATGTTATACTTTCTTACAATAACATAACAGCAAAAATACCGCTATCTGTTAAGATGTAATGTGTATAATCACCACATTTTTTTATCATCACGCCTGTAAATACTAGTGTTAAGGATATTGCTATCAAATATCTAATCAAAAAAATAGCGGAAGAGAACATCTTTGAAAACTGAACAAATTAACTGTAGAAAACATGCCATCCAGTTTGTTTGTATTAAATGCTAACAACTATGAATGTCGTGTTACCTTGATTGAACTAAATTTAATTAATAACTGCTTTGTAATTTAATTTATTACCAGTAATTTCATTTCTGGGTGGAAAAAAGAAAACAATAAATGTCGAAACAAAGACCAGTTAAATTTAAACTCATACTCAATCCCCTTATAATTTCAAAAGTTGAAATATTCCTACGCACGACATTCTCAAGCATGCGAAAAGAATTATGGCTGCTGTGATTGCAGAACCTTGCATTTAAACCAGTTTTTGAAAATATACATTAAATTATATTGGTATACTTCTAAAAAAAGTTTTTGAATAATCTATATGTAAAGTTAAAAAAAAAGCATTATAGATAATATTTATTTTTGTTTACTTTTCCAGTAAAAATTGTTAGGCAATAAAAGATAATCATTTCCTAACTAAACAAAAATAGGACGACTATCAGTTATTTTTTGTAAAAATTTGTTGTTGCTAGTGATTTTTTTAACATTCCCTCAAAGTAATTAAACTCCTTACTTAAATTGTGATAAAGTTACTAAATCTTTATCGCAATGATTGTATCACTGGTAAAACAACACTCATTACAGAAATTATCGATATCAATGTATAGATTAAACGTTATTAATTATGCCTTAAACGTTCTTATATGAAAAACTTATATTGCGTTGAACTCAAGATATGTATTACTTAATATATATTTAAAGGCTTACAAATTTTTATAGGTATGAATTCTGTATGCACTTAGACACGTACACTATATTATAGCTACACACAAGTAGACCCAGAGAAACTCCTTACATACGAAAAATATGTACAAATATGTAAAGATATTTGCACATGGGATCAAATCAAGATATATAGATATTTATAAACATTTTTTATAGATAAACTTCTAGTTATATATATATATATATATATATATATATATATATATATATATATATATATATATATATATATATATATATATATATATATATATATATATATATATATATATATAAAAACTCCTAGTTGGATATATATATATATATATACATATATATATATATATATATATATATATATATATATATATATATATATATATATATATATATATATATATATATATATATATATATATATATATATATGTATATGAACTCCTAGTTGGATATATATATATATATATATATATATATATATATATATATATATATATATATATATGTATATGAACTCCTAGTTGGATATATATATATATATATATATATATATATATATATATATATATATATGTATATGAACTCCTAGTTGGATATATATATATATATATATATATATATATATATATATATATATAAACTCCTAGTCAGTTATATATATACATATATATATATATATATATATATATATATATATATATATATATATATATATATATATATATATATATATATATAAACTCCTAGTTGGATATATATATATATATATATACATATATATATATATATATATATATATATATATATATATATATATATATATATATATATATATATATATATATATATATGTATATGAACTCCTAGTTGGATATATATATATATATATATATATATATATATATATATATATATATATGTATATGAACTCCTAGTTGGATATATATATATATATATATATATATATATATATATATATATGTATATATGTATATATATATGTTATATATATATATTATATATATATATATATATATATATATATATATATATATATATATACATATGTATATATATATTATATATATATATGTATATATATATTATATGTATGTATATATATTATATATATGTATATATATATAATATATATATGTATATATATAATATATATATGTATATATATGTATATATGTATATATGTATATATATATATATATATATCAGGCCTTGTAATGAATAAAAACTGCGCAGTGCATAAGCATGGCGTGATTTTTGACGTCATTAAAATCTTTTTATTTGCTTTTCATATTTATCGACATTAACTGTACCAATTTACTTAATTACCGCAAAACTACTTTAAATCATTAATGTAGAAATGTTATTATTTTAAAATGTTTTAAAATGTTTCGTTTTTTAAAATGTAAAAACATTTGTTTATTTTCT